AAACTGATGTCGAAAATGGATAAGACACGTGGAAAATGGAGACGTCATGTTACACTTCGAGTGGACAAACCAACACAATAAGTGCTTTCAGAGTATCAAGCAAGAATTTTGCTGAAAACCTATTCCCAAAGCAGTGACTGGCCGATGTGTCATCACCGATGCTTAAGAGCAAGCAGTCAGCCGGGTTCTCTCACAAGAGGGATATCCTGTGATCTATGCTTCAAGGAAGCTGTCATCAACTGAGCGCAATAACTCCAACATAGAACGAGAAGCTTCGACAATCGTGTTTGTGGTCACAAGACTTAAACAGATCTTCCTGGGGCGCAAACTCACTCTACAAACAGATCACAAACTCTTGCAGTACCTCTTTGCGCCAGACGGAGAGATACCGAAAACAGCAACAATTAGAATCACCAGATGGGCCATTGCGCTGATGGTATTCAAGCTCAAGTTGAAATATGTGCCAGGAGAGCAGATCCCACATGCGGACGCTCTCAGCAGAGGCCGTTTCTATGACGAGACACCAGAAGAGGAGAAAAGTTGTTTCTTTCAGTAAGACGCATCTTCCTAGATACGCAGGCACTCAGCAGAACGACATCAAAAAAGACCTCCCATCGAATAGAATTTTTCGAGATGTCTTTAAACGGATACAAAGCGGTGATTGGAGACTATGCTCAGAAACTGAATCAAACTTCAAGAAGGAAACATTGACAATACGACAAGGCGTAACCTACTGGGGCTTTGTACCTTTCATAGCGCCGAGAATTTAGAAGACAAAATGGACAATGGCCACAACACGCATGCAGGAAGACAGGCAAAAGAAATGGCTCTGAGAATGGTTGCTTGATGGCGTGGCATGTCACAAGAGGAGGAACGACGTGTCTTGAGATGCGAGATCTGTCAAAAGAACATCATCACATGAGACGTATGGGAAGGAATCCATTTGGACTGGGCCCACATCGCAAAGAAAAAGAAAACATATTGATAGTTGTTGATTCAGGAAAAAGGCGGAATCGAAGCATTTCCGACCAATGAAATAACTACTCTAACTGTCAAACATGTTTGTCAGCAGTATTTGCAGGATTTGCAATACCAAAAACTCTGGTTTATGCCAATGGACCCAAATTGGTGAGCGATGACTTTAAAAGATGGCGCAAGTCTCAAAAAATTCACAAAATTGAATCACCGAGTTATCACCCAAGAGCGAAGGGATTAGCAGAAAGAGCAGTCTAGACGGTTCAACATGCCATAAAGGCATGGGGAAAATTTATCTGTCAATTTTTTGTCGTTTCTCCGACGAGTACTAATGACTCATAAAACACAACCAAAGCGAAAAGAAAAACATCGGCAGATCTTGTTCTTGGAGAAAAAATTAGATTACCTATCATCATAGGTCTTGAAGAATGTACAAAACCCTTTTCAAGCCGAACAAAGACAGGGAGTAACAGCCTGCAATTTTTATCATTCGCCGCGGACCCAACACATCGTTGATTCAACTCAGTCAATCAGAACGGATTGTTCTTGCAAGCAAAAACTAGATTGCGAACTGCAGCCAAGAGACCAACGCCACTGATGGAAGGAGTTACATTGTCGATGATAAAACTTCAACATGAAAAAGAAGCATAATTGTCATCAGTTCTGTCACAGAGGAACCCAAACGATCTTCAAGATTATGAAAACCAACAAAAAACTACGGAGATCCAATACCGACATATTTCTTCAGAAAAGAAGGGAGGATGTGATTATCCGAGGAATCTCTTAGTATGAAACAAAGAAAACAATTTTATGCACTTACTTGATCTGTTGATGCGTATGAAATTGGTTCAGAAGCGATTCGATGTTTTTTCCTCTCTTCATTATCGTTTGAGTTTAAGCAACTGTCACAGTCTATCAACTATGTTTGATTCTCGTGATAAAAATCAATCTTGTCCATGAAAGGGAAGCTAAACATGTCGAATTTCTTTTTGGTGAACAGTCACCAAAAATAAGAACTTGTGCACAAAAATTTTTTTTATCCATAAGAACATCTTATTTTTCGGATAATATTCCCACTGATAACAACTATAAATACTAACTAAGTTTTGAATGAATTGTCTCTAACATCAATCTCAATAAAGTCTACTGAAAAAATCTCTTGCCTTGCACCGATCGATACATAAAAAAAAAACGTACAAAAAACGATACAAAATTTTTTCAAAGCTTTATTTGTAGGATCTGGAAGCTATCATCAGCTGAATGCAACTATTTTAACATGTAAAACGAAAAAATTTTGGCAATTGTGTTTGTGGTTTCAGGTTTGAAACGATTCTTACTGGGGCGCAAGTTTACTCTACAAACAGATCACAAAACCTTGCAGTACGTCTTTGCGCCAGACGGAGAGATACCGAAAACAACAATAATTAGAACAACCAGATGTGCCTCTGAGCTGATGGTATTCAAGCTCATGTTGAAATATAGGCCAGGAGAACAGTGCCCACGTATGGACGCTCTCAGCAGAGGCAGTTTCTATGACGAGACACGAGAAAATCTATTTCTTTCAGAATAACATCTTTTTCACGCAGGCAATCAAGCTGAACGGCATGCAGGCAATCACGCTAAACGAAATCAAAAGCGACCTCCAATCAAATTGAATGTCTTCAAACGGATACAAAATGGTGATTAGAGACTATGCTCAGAAGCTGAATCACACTTCAAGAAGGAAGCTGAAACATTGACAATACGAGATGGCGTAATCTACAGGGGCGTTGAACCTTTCTTGTCACCGAGTTTCAGCAGAAACATTATAGATGATGCCCACAAGACGCATTCAGGAAGACAGGCAAAAAACGGCTCTAAGAATGGTTGCTTGGTGTCGTGGCGTGGCTTGTCGCAAGACATGGAACGACATGTCTCAAGATGCGAGATATGTCAAAAGAATAGTTGATCGCTTGGAAAAACAGTTTCCAAGTTGCCAGAGGCAGACTTTTGGGAATGAATCCGTTTTGACTGGGCCCATATCAAAGAGTAAGGAAACATATTGATTGTTGTTGATGCAGTAAGTGGTGGGATCGAAGCATTCCCGACCAATGAAAGAACTACAATAACTGTCAAGAAATTTCTGTCAGCAGTCTTTGCAGGATTCGCAAAACCAAAAACTATAATTTCTGCTAAGGGAACCGAACTTGTGAGCGTTGACTTCAAAACATGGTGCAAGACTCAAAGAATTTACAAAATGGAAAACACCCTGTTTCAAGCCGAACAAAAACAGGGAAGCAGAGCCTGCAACTTTCGTCATTCGACGTGGAACCAACACTTCGTGGATCCAACTCAATCCATCAGAACGGACTGTTCTCGTAAGCGACAACTAGATTGCGAGATGCAGTCAAGAGATCAATATCACAGTCAAGAGATCAATTTTTTTCTTCAACTTCAGACGATCAATCTGAACCGTTCTGAGACTTACCCAAACGATCTTCAAGATATCTGAAACCAACGAAAAACTACGAAGATCCAATACCAACATATCTAATTTGAAAGGAGGGCGGATGTGATGAACTGAGGAATCAACCAAGTTAAAACTCTTACCATAAAACTTTAAGAAAACAAAATATTGCGCTCACTTGATCTGTTGATGCGCATGAAATTGGTTCAGAAGCGATTCTATATTTTTTCCCTCTCATTATTGTCACTTATGTTTAACCAACTGTCACATTTTGCCAATCATGATAGATTCTTGGGATATTAAGCAATCAATATTCATGAATGGTAAGCTAAATTTTTCGAATGTTTTTTTTGGCAAACAGTTACGAAAAATGGGAACTTGTGAACAAAAAATATTTTTTTTTATCCCTAAAGACGAAAATTGTTTTTTGTCTACTTTTCCTACTGATAACAACTATAGATACCAACTAAATTTTAGTTAAGTTATCAGTAACATCAGTTTGAATAAAATCTTTTGGACAAATCTCTTTCCTTGCACCAATCCACAACAACACAACAAAATGAAAAATAATTAAATAAAAAAATTTTCAATATTTTTTCAATGCATTTTGGTTAGGATCTGGAATAGTTTCGTTATTAGTTTTTGCTCTCAAAATAAGTTGGGGATTAAGCTGGAGACAAGCTGAATAAAAACAGAAAGTTGTATTGACAATGTCGTAAAGGTTACGCAGAGCTTTTTGAAAAAAAAACTGCAATCCTGATGAATTTATGCAGGGGTGGATTTTGGGGAGGGGCAGACCCCCCCTCAGGGATTTGACCCAATCACCAACCAAAGGGTCCCACTTTGATTTTTTTGTGACATCCGTTTGACTGACCCTGAAGTTTTAGATAGACCCCTTTGAACGCAATATATTTGAATTTTGAGGGGAGAGCGCGCCGAAAACAACGCTATTTTTGGTCAAAATTTTTTGAAAAAGTGCCCAAAAACGGCAATTTCAGGCTTGATTTTTCAGTATCACAAAAATGCACCTTTATCCACTGCATAGCCGACAGCTTGTGTGAAAATAGCGTAAAACAGTCCCAAAGACAGGTAGTACAGTCCCGCAGTATCCCCGCCCACATCGAAGGTTTTGAGCAGATAGGGTGATAAGGTGACGTCAAACAAGCCGAAAGGAAGTGCGGTTGACACCATGCATAAACTGATCATCCAAATACCAGGAAAAGATAAGAACTTGATGAAGGTGGCCAAAGTGGTATCCTTTAGATCGTTTTCTGATTTGAATGAAGAGCGGCTTTTTCTGTCGGTCCCGTGTGGAGAATTTGAGTCTTTGGGAACCAGAAGAGAAACGTCAGCGTGCTCTGCGTCCCAGGTACTGTCGTCCAAAATGCTAAGCAAATTAGGGCATCATGGTAAGACATAATAAATCAATGAAACTCAATTTGATCTTAAGTAAACAAAATTATGTAAAAAAAAAGGTAATCGATGATAGATGGAAAATGATTTTTTAATTTTTTTAAGTCGATTTTAGAAAAAATTTTGTCTTAAAAGCTGGCCGGACCATCTTTTGTATTTGAAAAGCTTACTTATCATCGTTCTTCGGCAATTCTTCGTGTTGTTCATTTTCTTCAGTTGATCTGGGCTTCTCAGACCGAGCAGGTCTGGTCGGCATCGCAATAACTGCAATAACCACTAACACAATTTCAATGGACCCCGAAATCACAAACGGATACATGTACCCCCCTAGACTATAAACCAGAGAACCAATGGGGGGACCAATAGCAACTCCCAAACCCACTCCAGATTCGATTAGTGATGTGAGTCGTCCGGCGTAGGCGGGTGCCATGGACACAATCGCAGGAATCCCAGTAGACCATAACATGCCAGCGCCCATGCCCATTGTTATTCGGCTGAATAAACACATAACTGCATATCTCGAGCCACCTAAAAATGAAACTGAAAAAGTTGATGTTCCTTCTTGGAAAAAAGGATCCCGCTCAACGCCTAAGATTTCCCAGTTGCTACTATTTTTTGACTGGCCAACCCTAAAATGTTCTGAATGGTTAGCGTATACCCAAAAATAACAGATTTCTGGTCGTCAAATTTTTCTATAAAGTACGCCGAAACTGCATTTTTGGAAAAAAAATTCAAAAATTTGTCTCTTCGCGAAGTGGGTTTTTAGTCGGAATGAAAACCAAACAAATAAAATCCGTGGGGACCTCTTCTATTCGTAGTAAATACCTGGTCCTTTTCCCAAAACTCCGAAGCATATATTGGAGACTGCTCCGAAAGTGGCACCTGCAATGAAGAAGAACTTGTTCAGCTGTGGAGTGGCAATGAGAGGCAGACATGCAGTGAGGAAGAGATTGGCAAAATCGAAGCAGCACGTGATCGCTCCCACCAGGAACTCACTCAGGCCCTGTAAAAAACAATCTCACTAGTCGAAGTTTTATGGAAAAAATTTGCCCCCTGCCCTACCCACTGCAAGGCAATCCTGGGGGCGGAAGGTGCATCCACTTTGCCGTAGTCGCCCCTACTCTGAGGAGGCGGATGACACTATGAACCCTTCGACCAGACAGAAGTGAAGTTCGAACCCCTGACCCTCGTATTAAGAGCCGTGCGCTCTACCCATTAGGCCTACCCACGATTGCTCTCCCGAATCAAACAGAATTTGAACCGGATTTTCTCGAGGGGGGGGGGGGTATCGGTTTTTCAAAAAGCTTTCGAAAATTTTGTCGACCTTTTTTTAGGTCGACCGAATGACCGAATTGATTTTTCGAGCCTCTCTCTTATTAGCACGGTTTAGTACCTGTTTTGTCCGAATTTTCTGCGCCGCAGGCAAAACTTTGAAAAAACAGTCCAAAAAAGGCGTTTTTAGGCACTTTTGGAAAATTTTGACCAAATAACCGCGTTGTTTCGGCGCGCGCTCCCATGTCAAAATTAGTATATATTGGCGCCCAAGGCGCCTTTAGAAAAACTTTAGGGTCGGTCGGCCAAAAGTGGATTTCTCAAAAAGTACTAAAGGCGGGACCCTTTGGGTCGGCAGGGGGTCGAATTCCTGAGGAAAAAGCGTTAGCCCCCCGCCCCTCCCTAAATCCGCCCCTGAATTGAACATCTGTTATTTTTTGCACCATGAAATAACTAGCTTAAAACTTGAGCTCGCAGCGCTCGAGAAAAGTTTTCTTCTACAATAAGCAACAAAAACGTTAGAACAGGCAGAATTAATTAAAAAGAGCAAGTTAGTTTTTTCGAAAAAAATACATGTGAAAGGTAGTTTTTCAGACCAGATTTGTGTCTCAAGGTTGTTTGAAGATTCAAGATTGCAAGCAAAACTTTTTCAAAACTAACAGGGTGCTCTTTTTATTAAATTTTTCCTTCTAAATTTGTGCAACTCTCTTTATGAGCTAAAGGATTTAGCAGGCGAAGGTTGTGTTATGTACAAATTTTTTTGTTTTCGAGTCAAAGTAGTGGAACCTGATATAAACTATATTTTATGATTGGATAAATTAGATATTTTACCACTGTAAAGTATTTAATATTAACCAATCATGATCCATCTAACTAACAACCCACTTATTTGTAAGTGCTGAAATTACTTGTAATTTCAGCACCAGAGAGATTTGAATTTAACTCAGAAATTAGTTGCCTCTCCAAGAGAACTTCAGCAGCCGCAATAAACCAGTATACCCTAGATCTATTGAGCCTAGCAGAGACTAGTTAAACACCCTGAGACTAGATAGTATAAGAGTAAGATTAGGATCGGTATTAGACTAAGAAGTTGCACGAATCTATCCGGCCGAAAATAAGATAGCGTGACGAGCAGACGATGTACCCTATCCGAAATTACTCTATGAGTTAACCACATCGGTCCTACCTCATCTGGTGCGACCATACGTCTCGAACGAGACCTTAATAGCTTAGAATTAACCAAAAATAGATGAGAAATTAGACAAAACATTTTCAAAATGTTAAACGACGATATTTTAATCGAAATGTCTCTACGACTCAATAGATCAGAGCCAATATTCCGATAGATAACAGAACTACCCGGAATCGTAAGAAGACCTCGAACCAGAGACGATATACGACAAAGTAGAAACTTACCATATAGTTATATGATAGTACGGCAAAAGCCAACACAAACTTTTATATTTAGAATTTTATTAGCAATGAATTTAGATTTTCATTTGCAAACATAAAATCTTGAGTCAATATTCATGATCATTTCAGGCGCTAAACAAAATTATTAATATACAATAACGATTGATAAAAAGATCTCAGATCGTTTTCCTAAATTCTGCAGTATTATATAAAACTTTTTTGGAAAATATTTATTGAAAATCAAAACAAAAATTAGTAGCATGACAATAAATTGTTAGTAACCATAAAATCATCAGTTGTCCCAGCTTCATCACCTAAACATAACAGCAATCATAAGCTCACTAATATCATTAAAACGCTAAATCTTTTTCTTAAACAAATTTCAACTATTTTAAACTTAAATTCACTTAATTTTAAAATCAGATCATCAAGGCTTATCCTTGGATCTTAATTAATTTTCTATTTCACTAATTTTAAAACTTGATCATCAAGGCCTATCCTTGGATCAAAAAGAACAATTTTGTTCTCCCCCACCCACTTAGCAAGTGTCTAACGACCTCAAACGTCGATTCACTATCCAAACCTTCCAAAAAACCCAAGACTAATAGAAATTTTTGAACAAAACTAACCATTCAAATTAGGATAAACAGTGAAGAACTTCGGTTATTCATCCTTCACTTGAACCCTCCTCTTACCAGACCCAGGATAATCTTAGACTTAGTAAGTTTAAAATAGTATCTAACGAACTGATCGCGTTCTAATTATACCTGAACCTTGTGGATCGATTTACTATTCTCCAACCCTTGAACACAATCACTACCCCTAAGTAAGATTAAGTAAGTTAACACCTTAGCTTATATTAGCCACGAGAAAGTAAAAAATCATTCTTCGGAATCGATATACTTTTCTCTCCAACCCTGAACAAATAGACCCAGGTTAAGCTAACCAAAAAATCGTAAGGACTAACAGTTTAAGAAAGTAGAAATCATCTAACAACTTTTTGCATCCCTCATACTAAACCTTATGTCATTCAAAAATCTAGGAAATAAACAAACAATCGTTTTACACAACTGTGAAATAGATAACAAAAAATACGATTTTGTAATCACACCTCATACAGAAACAGTTGGATATATTAGAACAAAACGACTAACAATAAAAAGGAAAATAATAAACAAACAAAGACAAATCACACGAAAAAGATTTTCAAAAATAGAAACGCATTTTCAGAATCAGAAGCCAGCAATTTAGATGAACTTTATAAATTAAAAGAAACAATTGATAAAAATTGTCCCATTCTTGATCAATTATATTTTTCCGACTCAGAAACAACTTCAAATTCATCAAAAAGAGGAAAAAGAAGAATAAAAAAGCAATATAAACACAAACCAGTACACTTGTATAATTGGAATCAACCAATTAGACACATCGATAGTTACATATTAACAGTCATTAAACGAAAAAATGAGCCACAGCCACACTCAAAGTGACGATAGTCCAGATGACGACGATATTTACCCCTTCCTCGTAGATGCACCCGATAATAGAGGACAGCATGACTTTTGCAAGAATTTACTCCTAAATTTGTTTGAACCCGGAATCAGTCCATGCAAAGCAGAATTCCCAGATGTAAAAATTAAAAGACAAATTATAGAACATTATCTGAAAGATATATGTAATTTAACACAACAATACGGAATCTACACCATAGAATTCAGTACACCAAATCCGAATCACCGCAAATATGTAATTCAAACAGACGATCTTGACTTAGAATTTTCAAAAGTATTCTTAGAATATATTAAAAGCGTACAATATCATAACTCACAAAGAGCAAACTCCGTATTTACTAACGAAGTTTTTGCAATAATATATAGTTATATTTCAATATTAGAAAAAACAGAAATTCCAAATATCTCACCAACTGAGACATCCAAACATACAAAAGTACGACATGAAATCACAATATTTTCAACTTTCCTACATATAATTAAAGAAAATTTCACTAAAGACGAAGTTTCACAACTTACAAAACATGACTTACAAAAAATTTTGGCATGGTTTACAATAGATTATTTCACACATAATATAGATTTAATTTCACAAGCAAGAAAAAATTTCAGACCTCAAAATTCAAACGATGATACCGCCATCACAGAACAGTCAGACTACGTTTGGGACCCCGAATGGTCTCATCATGCAATTATAAACATCCCACAATCAATCTCAAGTCAAGCAAAAAGTACAATATCTTATCAAAGAGACTATGTAAGAGTAGTACCATTAACCATTGATGCAACACCATTAAACTACAATACATTTTTACCTGATACGCGAAATAACAGTTTAAATTCAACCGTCATACACAATGAAAACCTTAATGGAACTAGGAATCTTACACAACAAGATATTCAAACACCATCACACTTCATAAATGAAGAAATCGTCCAAACAACAACAACTACACAACAAAGTATTTCACCGATACGTCCAAATTTAACAACACCAAAAAATACAAACACTTCACCAGCACAAGTAACCTTACAATCAACCGTTAAACCTTCGGTTGCTCCAAAATATTCACATATGGATTATCAAACATATAGACCTATGACAGTACCGTCAAAAACACGAAGAACGTTCACAAGAAACACTTTTGCAGAACACAATTATAATTACGCACATTCATCAAAAACAAACTATCCCCCACGAAAAAATAATAATAATCATGTAAGATCTCGATATTGGGATAACCCAATGACAAAATCCAACTCAGTAAATTTTCAAACTAATTCACATCCCTCACAGGATCGTAGTGAAAACTACCCATTCTTTCAACAAAATAAAAATAAAAAAGCACCTCATCATACGGATTACTTATCCTCTGATGATGATTATTTACAACCAGATATTTTTGCACCATATACTCAAGAATATTGCGGACAAGGAGCGCAAAAACCATATACATATCATAGAATTTTTTCTCCAGATCCAACAGATACACAAAATCAACAACCAATACAAACGCAAAATCCAATTAATACACAATCTTTTCAACCAATACAACCACAAAACCCAATTACTATGCACTCGTATCGACCAACTCAATTGCAAAATGAAATACCACTCCCATATTACCTTCAAGAACACGAAATAACAAGAAATCAACTTTCAAATTTTTCTCAAATGCCAAATGCAGCAGAATCATTACAAATGACGATGAATCCATACCTTATGGGTGGATCATCAATAACATCAAATAAACTTTTAATGGTATTCACAGGAACAGACCCTGAATATTCTGTAGAAGACTATTTA